CGGGCCACCCTCCCTCCCAACTGCTCCGCAGCTACGGGCCCATCTCAGCGCCAGCGCCGGCTCCAGCTGCACAGCGCGACTCTGCGGGGTCAGTGCGGCGGCTGCCTGGTCAACATTGTGGGGTCTCCCTGGGCATAATCAACCAACCTCAGGATTTAGAAGGGACTTGAATTGTGCTCGGAAAGTCAGTCGTAGCGGAGGCATTGCAACCCAGTTTCACGCGGGGAGGTCTTCTCCAGATAAGCGTGTCCAGAGTGGTAGTTGCCATCTCAGTGTGTGTTAGGTGAAAATGTGAATAAATATTTCTTCCAGATGTTAAGGTTTTATCATTAATGTTTTAAAATGTAGGTTTTATCATGGTTCAGGCACGGTGAGGCCAACAGAGGAGGAGACAAGCGCCATTGACAAGCTAGCCGTTCCCCAGAGGAGAGAGCTCGCCACACCCGGCGGGGGCCGTGGCCGGCACCCGCGTGGGTGGGGACAGAGCGCGACGGGGAAGCGTGGGCAAGAGCCTCTACTGTGGTTTCTGCAGGCGGAGGTTGGCTGGTTTGGGTCATTTCCGTGGGCAGTGGCGCCAGCTGCCTGACACCTGCCCTGAGCTGAGCAGGGCGGGGAGGTAGCCCTGTGAGAGCCCAGGAGAGGGACATGCGAGCGAGGCCCTCCGACTGGCGAAGGCTCTCGGGCAGGCGCGCACATATGGCTTCTGCATCTCACCAAGCCCCTGAACAAGCTGAACAGGCTCAGAGGAGCACGTCTTAATTACCTTAATTGCCTTAGGATGTGCCCTTAAAAATCTACATGTTTTACTTTTATTATTATTATTATCACCAGAGGATTTTTCCATTGCTTTTCAGAGAGAGTGGAAGGGGGGGAGAAAGATCGATGTGAGAGAGAAACATCAATTGGTTGCTTCCCACGTGAGCCCCAACTGGGGCTGGGGACCGAACCTGCAACCCATGTATGTGCCCTTGGCCAGGAATCAAACCCCAGACCCTTCAGTCCCAGGGCCGATGCTCTAACCACCGAGCCAAACTGGCTAGGGGCACACATGTTTTGCTTTTTAAATTACCTTAAGATGTGCTCTTCTGAGCCTGGAAAACACTGAAATAAATTAGTTTATTATAGTTTACAATTTAGTTTATTGTCTTTTCATCTGATCTTATGCTTATGCCATCATAAGTATTTTGAAAAGTTGTTTTCTCTCACAGAGAATGTAGAAGCAGAAGAGAAAGTGGGTATTTCTGCTTTTTCCTCTATCATTAATGTATTTTAGACCCTGGCCCCAAATTGTGAACGTGGGATAATATTCCTTGTTTTCCTTTTACTGATCGGAGTCATCAGTTAGCAATTTATGGAAAATAAACCCATCCTGAGACTTAGCTTCCTTTGCATCTGTTTTATATAATTTTGTTTGTTTCATTTTGTTCACTGATTTTTGTCCCTGCTCAAACCCCAAAGCTCATGGAACCAGCATGTTTTGTGTAACTGAAAATTAGCATCCCATTCATACCGTTATTGGTTGCTATTGTGAAAATCTCACAATCGGAATGTTACTCCTTCCCTAAAGAGTTATATTTTAAAACAAATTCAGAGTGTTAAATCCTGGCTTTCTACAAGGTTTTCTTTTAGATGGCTGTATATATGACTTACGTAATCACTTGTGTTTGTGCAGCCAGTGCCGCAGGCATTACCTGCCCAGGTGGCTGTTACAGACACCAGAGGGCATGCAACAGTCATAGCGACAAAGATCATTATCAGCTTTCCTGTTTTTTCAGGAAGAGTAAAGCTCAGTTGAAACTGGTACGATGCACACATCCAGATTGCCAGTCTCCATTCAGCCTTCTCTATTTTCAGAAAGATTCAGTGTGTCTGCAGGCACTTGGGGAATCTGAGCCTGTCCCCGAATTGTTTCAAGCTTTATTACAACCTCTCAAGGACCCCAAAGCCCATACAAAACTCATCACTTCAACTCTGAAACTAAATCCTCCAATTTCTCCATTGTGTCTTCAGATCATTATATTTTAAATTATTTTGCTACAGCATAAAAAAATCAAAGCTCCACAAATTCTTTTTTTTCTTCGTTTCTACAAAGTCCTTCATGTGTTTACTTGAAGCCACTGTAGCAGTTTGAAAACATCAAGCAGGCCCATGGGAAGTACGAGTGTTCGCATCGTGCGTTGGAGGGTCCTTACGAAAGTGCATCCTTTCGTGTTTACTTGAGAGAAACTCAGCGAAGGCAGGACGACACAATATTCTGAAGGGAACTCTGAGAGGGGAAGCGGCCTGCTCTGCTAACTGGAAATTTACCTGAAATAAATTATGTAATATAAGGGACGAGTGGAAGGAATTCTGTCAACGTCCCCCAAACAAGTCTTCCTTGGAGGTTACGGGTGAAAGGAAGGTGAGAGCTGCGTGGCTTTTCTTTTTTTTCTTTTTTAAATATGTCTTTTTTGATTTCAGAGAGAGGGAGGGAGAGGGGGAGAGAGAGAAACATCAGTGAGAGTCATTGACCGGCTGCCTCCTGCACGGCCCCTGCTGGAGATCGAGCCCGCAGCCCGGGCATGTGCCCTGAGCGGAATTCGAACCGCGATCTCCTGGGTCCTAGGTCGTTGCTCAACCGCTGAGCCGCGCCGGCCCGCGAAAGCTGCACGGCTTTCATCACGCTTTCCAGTGTTGCTGCTGAGCTGTTAGCTCACCTGTCGTTTCTGGAATTCCTGATGCATTTGGCTTACAAATCAAATTCCCCTGAACTTCCTCAGATGACTGCGGTTGGGGGGGCGGAGGGGGCACGTGGTGTCCGGGAGGGTTTTCGCTGCTGTCACTGTTACATTATCCAATTCATGGTTCACCAAGGTCCTGTACCTCCTGCTTCATGCGCACTGTCAGCTGCCTGTCGGGGACACGGGTGCTGCGCCGTGAAGCTTTTTCAGAGACGGTGGACGATGGGGCATCTTCTAGAAACGCCTGCCCTCAGATAAGCTCGCCGAGCCTCCTGAGGGGGGACGTGATGGTGGGAGGGCTCCTGTTTACCTCTGATTCCTTGCTTTACCTGTTTCAGTAAGGAAGAGAGCAGTGTTAATGAAATGAAAGGGCGTGAACGGCCACTTGGCCGCCCCCGCGCACGCCGTGTCTGTCACCCTCCAGGCCTGGGTGAGGGCGTTGGCTTTATGCCCCCGCCTGGCGCCTGAGCGCATTGTCTCAGTGACGCGCGTAACCTGCCCGGTCCTAGGACCAGCGAGCCCAGGACTGTGTGCTGCTCCCTGCCCCGCGGGTCCCCGGCCGGCGCTGACCACTTTATTGTCATGGGCTTGACGGCCTTTGGACGTGAGGAAAACAAAGCTCTTGCCTTGCTGCCCGGTTAACGCCCTGCGCGCTCGTCTCCAGATGTAGCTCCAGCGATGCGGCAGCGCTTCTGGTGCATGAGCTCCTGCAACGCCGTCCTGCGTCACAAGAGCTCACTAATGCCTTTATCCAAAGACTTGTTGCTTTGTCACTGTAGCCGTGTTTGTTTGTTTTTTAAATCTAAACAAGGAGACAAAGAGCATCACTTTCCTGGGGTTCCTGGGCCCACAGGACTGTCGCTAACCAGGGAAGCCCCCCGCACGTGGTGTGCAGGGCTGTCGTTGGGGTTTCATTTCCTAGACTTGGCTGCTAAATCACTGACCACACAACTGAGCTTAGTCCCCAGCCACCGTCCCCTCCCTGGCTGATACACTGGCTCAGGCCCCAGTTCTCTGTCACTGGCTGGTCTTCCCGGCACGGCCCAGCCCCATTCTGAGCCTGGCTGTCAGTGCAAACTCAGGTGTGCCCCATGTCCCAGGGAATGCCCATCACGGGAGACTCCAGGGAGGGAGGGCTCACCTCCCAGAACAGGGATGCTGAAGACCAGCCGATTCTTTATTACTCGACAGCTGCCCACGGAGATGACTTTAAAATCTTAAACCAAATCTATTAAACACACGTAGTCCATCCTTCACACACCAGCAGGCAAACAAATGTGCATGATGAATGAAGATCGCCATGCAGAACACCAGACAAAACTCCATGGCCAAACCTACAAAAATATTAACCGAACTTAGGTAAATGTGCCAGGCCCATTTTAGGAGGTTATCACGCCCTTAAATATATAGGAGGAAATTTATATGTGTCAGCTTAAGATTAGATCATGGATTAAAATAGTACAGTTATATTTAGAACAACACTTCTAAAACCACGAAGATTATGTCGAAGAAACCCAGAATTTTAAACCTCAACTTTAGTGACTGCCTGCACAATCCCTTTATTTCACAGCTGAGAAGAAAAAAAAGAAAAGCCAGGGTCCTAAACTAACGAGAACATTCATTTCGAGCCGCGCCAGGAACGTGCCTTAACATGCACAACGTCAGCATCCAGTACCCAACCTAACTCCCAACCTACGGCCAACCCTGGCTGCCTGGTTTGTCCCGAAGTGGGGTTTCACCCACCCTGACAACCTGCACCAGACACACGTCAGGAGGCCAAAGGGCTAGGAAGAAAATGTGTTTACACCGGTTCCCAAATATTTGGAAATATTCCAAAATAAGGGCAAGCTCTGCGCGGGTCGCCCCTTTTCCTCCCCTGCGACCCTGCACAGGGCCGACGCCCGCGGGCATGCAGCCCACCTGCGCCGCTCAGCCTCTGCTTACGGGCGGGGAGACCCTGGGGTTTTACGGTGTAGCTCCCCTCACTGCAGGGGTCACCGTGCTGCTTCCTGCACCCTTGAAAAAGTTCATTTCTTCCTTTAAATCGCTGCCACTGAAATTCATCTTCTTCCATCTGGTCCATTATCACCGCGCCCCTACTCTTCTTAAGCCGATTTAGATGAAAACACCGCCGACCTTGCAAACAGAAAGTATGTGTTGGCAAATGATTCTTAGTTGGAAAATAATTACTTTAGTTCGAGTTTGGTAAAACCAGTAAAAATGCAACAATTTCTAGTGAAACTATAAATGGTATAATGATTGCGTAAGTGTGGTCATTTCTACAAAGTGCAAATAAAACGAAGGCAGGAAACTTTGGCGCTCATCCTTCAGAAACCCAGGAATGGCCCCCAAACGTGTAAGGCAACTGTCTGTCTCACAGGGCCTCGCGGCCGCACCCCTTCCCTGCACCCTCCCCACAGCTGACTGCAGGGAGTTCAAATGCTCACCATTCCGGGGGCGATGTCACAGGCAACCGCTCTATAAAAGGTCCCACATTGCCTGTCACTGGCCCACATATGGAGGGGTCAACAGAAAGGCCGCCCACTTGGTAGGAACCAGGTAACAGGCAAAATAACCTGCTGTCACAGGCGCAGGGTCCGGGTGTGTCCATCCTCTGTCACAGGTGCAGGGGTCTCAGTGTGTTCCATCCTCTGTCACAGGCGCAGGGTCCGGGTGTGTCCATCCTCTGTCACAGGCGCAGGGGTCTCAGTGTGTTCCATCCTCTGTCACAGGTGCAGGGTCTGGGTGTGTCCATCCTCTGTCACAGGTGCAGGGCCTGGGTGTGTCCATCCTCTGTCACAGGTGCAGGGCCTGGGTGTGTCCATCCTCTGTCATAGGTGCAGGGCCTGGGTGTGTCCATCCTCTGTCACAGGTGCAGGGGTCTCGGTGTGTTCCATCCGTCTAATCAATGCTGGTTCTATTTTGTGGGGCATGTTGAGTTTTGTTGTAACGAGTACCTGTCACTGAACGTATTGAAACCTTGAGAACAGGAGACCAGGGGCTGTGACAAGTGCACAGGACGCAGGTCTCACAGGTCGTTCACAAAAGCCACGGGCCCTGTCCCAGCAGCTCTTGCCCCCGAACACAGACAGCAGGCGGGCGGCCACAGCCAGGCTGCACGATGCCTGCACGTCTTAACACTTGTCACTTTAACCTCATCAAACAGTTAAGGAAGGTGGGCCTTAAACACACGCATTCTAATGGCCGTGGCCATCCTGGGGTAGAAGGGGGGTTGTGACTCAGGCTCCCGCGCCCTAACCAGCATCTGCTTGGCCCCAGGAGCACGGCATCCCCACGGACGCGGGCTACGCGGTGGCCCCGCACCACTCGGGCGTCTACCCGGTGCACGGGCAGCTGTACGCGGCCTGGCGGAAGGTCTGGGGCATCCAGGTGACCAGCACCGAGGAGTACCCGCACCTGAAGCCCGCGCGGCGCCGGAGGGGCTTCATCCACAGGAGCATCATGGTGAGTGGCTTGGGGGCGCGGGGCCGGCCCAGCCCCCCCAGCCCCCGGAGGGGAGGCTGTTGGCAGCCCAACCCCAGGAGAAACTCCAGGCTGCAGGAAGTGCACCTGTCACTTCTAAGCAAAAGATGTTTCAGTAAAGCCACTTCCTTTTCATTCTTCAAGGACAGCTGAAACTGCTCTTTCACTGCCCCCGCTGCTGCTAAAATGCTAAGGAAATGCTACAGAAAATGTGCAGCTAACGTGCAGATATTGTGCAGCTAGCACGCAGCTAGCATGCAGATAGCGTGTGAGGCCCTGCTCACCCTTCACAGATCACAGCACAGAGCACATGAGAGGCCACGTGAGCGACACCATCCAGGGCCTCTGTCCAGTTCTCTCCAGTTCTTTCTATTGTATTTTGTTTAGCTTTTTTTTTTTTTTTTGCACTGGTGACAAACATATTTTGTTAAGACATGTCATTATCTAATACTTTGAGAAACTTCCCAAAGTAAGTAATTAAACCCTATTTTTCCCCCAAATCAAAACATCCAGCATACAGGTAAAGTTCGGGTGGCCTCCTGGTTTGGACTCACAGACTAGGCCGGGCCACCTGCAGGACACCAGCGGTGAGGCTCCATCACTCTCTGTCACAGTATCTGAACAGATGTTTACCCTCCAGAATCAGCTGAAACTGACTTCTTTTCAGACAGTTTCCAGTGTCTGCAAAAACTACAGAGTGGATAATGAATGACATTTGACTTGTGTCAACTCCCATCTGGACTTTTCCCTCGATAAAAACTGTAGTGAATGATGGCGACATGAGGCCCCATTTTATCCCAGTCTGCCCTCCTCCCACCCTGCCCAGCTGCCGGCCTTTGGCTGGGAATAGCTTACAAGGCCTGGGGTACAGCCCCACGAGAGCGATTCATTTCCCATGTCTCCTGAAACATGGCTCACCTGCACTATAAAGGGAATAGAGGCTCTAGCATCTCCCGTTCTGTGGCTCCAGGTCTGCAGCAGTGCAAGGAGGCCATCTCTGTCTCTGTATGGGCCTCGGGGGAGAGCTCAGAGTGAGAGGTGTCCAGCAGCCAGGAGGAGAGGCAGTCAGAGGGAAGTGGGGTGGACTCTCGCACCCAGAGCCCAAGCTCCGGGAGAGACACTAGGGAAGGACCAGGAGCTGAGCAGTGACCGTGCTTAGAGCACACCCACATTTTGCATGAGATGAGGAAAGGTTGTTTTTTATAATTTCATTCACAAAGCAGACTCCCGAGGCCTTACATGAAACCCACTGTCTCCCCTCCACACCAGCTCTTGATCCTGCGATCCCTAACTCAGTCCTGCAGTGTGGACATCATGCTGACCCCCACATCCACTCAGGCTCGGCAGTCCATCACCCATTCCTCCATAATATTTCTAATGTCCCTTCCTTTCCTGCAGCCTACTCCCTGTCCTGACGTCCACATGGAAACTGTGAGCCGGTTCCTACTTGGTCTCCCCCACCCAGTACGCCCACGCACAGTGCCAACCCTTTACTCTGTGTATGATGCTGATTTCTCTTGGCTTTCCCACCCTGGGTTCCTCCCACTGCTTCCACACCCTTAACTTGCTCCTCAGGGACCTGGAAACAATTGGGACTTAGCCTCTCCCCATCTCCGATGTTCTGCCTCTGCCACTGGCCCTCTCCATCTCTTCCTCCTCACTGTCCAGTCCTTTATCACACTTAATTAACCATGAAGCCCCCGGTGCAGAGCGGCGATACCTAACTCAGCACATGGATTTTTCTCTCCTCTGAGTTCCTGTAACACCTCTTCCAGGTCCACCAGGAACAGAAAAGCCTCTTGCACATCAAGGTGCTTGGGCCCTAACCAGAGTCTCTGGGCTCCTGTCCATCACATTGTCCACTGGGCGGTTTTTATCTTCCTGTAAGAAGGCACTGCTGGAGGTCAGGGCTGCCCACCCTCACCCGGTGGTTAAGGGTGGCTCTGGGGAGGGCCAGAGACCTCGAAGCCCAGACTATAGATCCCGATACCACCTACTCTGTCTAATGGAGATGCCCTGGGTGGAGATGCCCTTTCATCCTGCTGGAAGCCTCCCAGGTAGTCTTTACTGGAAGCTCCCAGAAGCATTTGTGGGCAGTTGCTCCAAGTTTGGACCTTAAGTAAAAGATCCAGGCTCTAGATCCCATTTGCCAAGATTCATGTTGAGTGTGGCTTTCGTAACTGTGAGCAGCTGTCAGCTTCCCAGGAGCTCATCTGTGTCTTGAAGTTTGAGTTTAATACTGTTACACTCCCCGCACCAGCTCTAGAGGGCGCTCCACAGCAGAATGCCTAACAACCACTCTCCTTCCTCTCTAACACACAGAGCTGCTCCAAGAAGCATGGAGAGTGTTCTGTGGCATCATGTGCAGAGCAAAGCAGTGGAATATGACCCTATCACACTCCAATGCCTCCTGCTCCATGACCACCCAGGGCTCCTGGGGACTCTAATGCTCTCACCAGCAGGGGCCCTCCCGAGAGGGGCTGGGTAGAGCCTAGAGCTTCTCCTCCCCTGTGTTCAGACTCAAATGACTTCAGAAATAGACATAACTCAAACTTCTTTACTCTTCTCCATTTTTCATGGAATCAGCTAGGCAATCAAGTCCCAAAGATATCTCTTTGTACGTTTCAAATGGAATCCTAAATGTGATTCACAGTCATGCCCTTTTAAAACGTAGCACTAAGGGAGATTCCAAGATGGTGGGAGACTGAGTGGAAGCTACACTGACACTCTCCCAGGACCAAACTGGAATTGCAACTAAAATATAGAAAAAATATCCTGAATAATCAGCTGAAGGCTAGCTGGAGAGCACCCTCATAACCAAGAACCTAAAGTGGAGACCACATAGAGATGGGTAGGAAGAGCAGAGGCACGAGAGGGCTGGCTGGGCTCCCACAGGCAGCAACTGAAGGTCCAGGGGGTATCTCAGCTGTGGGGGCTTCCACTGAGGACTCTGGGGCCTAAACCCCAAGCTGGGATCACCATCCCAGAGCACCAGACCTGAGAAAGGTGCCCACGTAACATCTGGCTGTGAAAAGCAAAGGGATTTCTGCCTGCCAAGGAGAGATGGCTGGAAATACAGGCACCTTCTTAAAGGGCCAATGCACAAAGTTTCGTGTGCAGCCACCCACTTTGGGCTCCAGCAAGGGAGGGCGGAGTGGACTGGAGCAGTAAAGGGAGAGACCAGGATTGTGGGCTCTGGAGGGGGAGCTCGGAGGCTAGCTATTTGGATTCTTGTGCTGAGTCATTCCCCCATACCGCAGAGGATATCTTTCTCAAGCTGCCCAGGCCAGACAGCTTTTACCTGAGGGGGAAGCAATTGCCTCACCCATTGGAAAACTTCTCAACCCACCCTGTGGAGTTTACACCTTGCTGTGGTCTACAGCCTGAGACTCATTAAGAGAATCAGATTAATCACCCTGCAGGCAGAGGCAGACCTCAGAGTGCTTTGAGTCTTTGTCTGATCTGCTTCTGGACCTAGCCTTGGAAAAGCAGACTTTGGTGTACATCGTGGTCCTGTCCAAACACACCCAGCCCCAAAAGAGGGGACCTCAAGCCGTGGGTTGTTGATAGCTCCAAACAAGGTATTAAAGGCCAGTCACAAACAGCACCTGACATTAGCCTGCACCAGAGACCTTCCAAAAAGACTGAGAGTCCTAGCAGGCTTACCTAATATATAGAAACAAACCCAAACAGGCAGCCAAAATGAGGAGACAAAAAAAACAAATCCCAAATGAAAGAACAAGAGAAGTCTCCAAAAAAAGGGCTAAATGAAATGGAGATAAACTGTCAGATATAGAGTTCAGAATACTGATTGTAAGGATGATGAGAAAAGATAGGGAAACTGTAGGAAATGAAGAATGACACAGCAGAAATGAAGAATACATTGGACGGAATAAACAGCAGGTTAGCAGAAGCTGAAGATTGGATCAGCAAATTTGAAGATAGGGTAAACAAAATCACTCAATCAGAGATCCAAAAAGAACAATAATTAAAAAACAGAACAGTTTAAGGGAGCTAAGGGACAACATGAAACCTAACAATATTTGCATCATAGGAGTGCCAGAAGATCTAGAAAGTAAGCAAAAGTTAGAGAACCTGTTTGAAGAAATAATGGCAGAAAACTTCCCAAACCTGGTGAAGGAAAAAGTCACACAAGTTCAGGAGGCACAGAGAGTCCCAAGCAAGAAGAATCCAAAGAGGCCCACGCCCAGACACATCATAATTAAAATACCAAGAATTCAAGACAGAGAGAGAATCTTATAGGCAGCAAGAGAAAAGCAAACTGTTACCTACAAAGGAGCTCCCATAAGGCTGTAAGCTGACTTCTTATCAGAAACTCTACAGGCCAGAAGGGAATGGCATGAAGTATTCAGGGTAATGCAAAGTAAGGATCTGAAACCAAGACTACTCTATCCAGCAAGGCTATCATTCAAAATAGATGGTGAAATAAAAGCTTCCCAGACAAAGAAAGGCCAAACCAGCGAGTTTATCACCAAACCAGCATTGCAGGAAATGTTAAAGGGAATGCTTTAATTAGAAGTAGAAATAGAAACATTGCAAGAAATGTTAAAAGGGACTTCTGTAACAATAAGAAGAAATAGAGAAGGAAACATAGGCATAAGGAATTAAAATGGCAACCTTAAGTGTAAATGGATTAAATGCTCCAATAAAAAGAAATAGGGTAGTTGAGTGGATAAGAAAACATGACCCAAATATATACTGTCTACAAGAGAACCACCTCAGAACAAAAGACACACAGGATGAGAGTGAAGGACTGGAAAAAATTTTCCATGCAAAAAAAAGCTGGGGTAGCAATACTCTTATTTTTCAAAATGGACTTCAGAATGAAGACCATAATGAGAGACAAGAAAGGTCACTACATAATACTAAAGGGATCATTCCAACAAGAATATATAACCCTGATAAACATATGCACCCAATATAGGAGCACCTAAATTTATTAAAAAACTTCTGGAGGACTT